CCAAAAACAAAAAAAAAAAAAACAAAAAAAAAAAGGCTTATCAAGTCCCTGGCTTATCAATGAAAATGTTCCAGCAGAGTAACAGAAGAGTAGGTATGGGATGTTTAAGCTAGATAACATTTAGACTAAGTGACTTTTTAAGTAACTTGTAGCTCAAAATCTGATTCCATTTATCATGCTAATTCATGGGCAACCTCTACTTGATTTTTCAATCATGCATTATTCAAAATGGAAAGCAAAATAAAATATAAAAAACTAAAACCATATTTATGAGTATCAAAAGCATTAACATAAGAAAAAAATTTCAGATTTTGTTACATTCTATGGTGCATGACTACAGGTTGTCTTAAACTAGAATATAGTCTAGTTATTTAACTGTCATGCTGAATGACGATGCTAATTAACTAAAAGGAAGAGGATGAGGCAGAAAGTTTCATATCTGCAAACCGAGCTAGCCACTGTGAACATTTTTCAGGATACTGATCATCCAGAATAAGCCATTAATTTTATAGGTGAGGAAACTGAAATCCAAAATATTGAATGATTTTCCTAAGCACACACCTATTGCTTTTTCCATGAAATATATTACTTTTACTAGGGATCTAAATATATTATATGACTAAAGTAATTTGCTCTTCAGAACAGAAAATACTTTCAAATACCACAGAATCAGTTTTTAACAATAAAATAGGTCACTGATCTCAGGAGATAATTTTTATATTAATTTCTACACTGTACACTTTAACAATTTTGATAACATTTTATGTGGTAACCAAAAAATAAAGCTGTGATTCAATCTACTGTAGAATTCACAATTTGTAAATTTGAAAACTTTTTCTCTATATTTTGTTAGAATTTTACTGTGTTAAAGAAAAAGCTAGGTTATTTAACAGTAATTCTGTGAAAACTCCTCATTTATTCATTAATATCTTTACGCAGTCTTATGAAGGGAGAAATTGATGTCAAAATAATTTTGTAGAATTCTAAGTTACCAAAAATTCATGCTTGGAGCAATTAAAACTATTTTATGTTGTCTGTACACAACTGAGCTGATTTGCTCACTGTAAATACTACATACAGGTGGAAGCTATTCATTTAGTGACTATACATCATCAACTATATAAAAATTAAGTCAGTCAGAACCTCCCAAATAAAACTGTCAAAGCAAACATGTACCTGAGCCTCTCTAGTCCAAGTTAACTAAAATTTAATTTAATTTAGCTATGGTGCTAGGGACTGAACCTGAGGGCCTGCACATGCTAGTCAAATGCTCTCCTACCAAGCTATATTCCCAGCCCCAAAATTTAGTTTTAAATCCTTCTGTAAAGTCATGGAATATATCTGAGATGTGAACTCGGGCTTCTAATTTAAATTATGGAAAAAGCAGAAAGTCAAATGTAAAGATATGGAAAGATGTCCTACCTAAAAATAAGTATTTTATACTGTAACCCAGTAATAATAATTATCAAAATGACATTTATCAGTGGTTTCAACAATTTCTATTTGAAAAGACACTAAGAATGTGTCATGGCAAAAAAAAATGTTGCAAATCTTTAAGTTTCAGTGTAATCTACGGAGTTTCGCATCTACTCTCAAATCATGTCAACAAAGAAATAAACAGAATAACCTTAAAATTAAAATATTTTTAATAAAAAGTGATGCCTTCAGTTTTTATATCTGCTTGGTCCTACATCTGTTGATAGTCAAACTAATAATACTTATCAGTATGGATATGGATTTGCAACAGAAACTCATCTCACTTATCTTTCAAAGTCTTACTCAAATGTCATGTCCACCAAAAGCTTCACTGATTCTACCAGATAGATATGATCCCAAACCTCCAAATTTCCTAGAACTTCATCTATAACCTCAATAGAATTTAACACTTTCTACCTTACAATAAATGATCTAGCATTTGTCTCATCTGACAAACTCATGGTTCTAAGTGCCCGACATTTTCTGGTGGGTAAGGAGAAGCTCTGGAGCTCTGACCAAGGAATTAGGAGTGGCGCGCTACGTGTGTAAGCTCACACAGGAGACTCTCAGCAGGATCAAGGAGGAATCAGCTACCAAACTCGTGAGGAATGAAGAACTAATTGATAACCAAAGAATGGAGGACTTGAGAAAGTGACCATTTAAAATGCCTATTACTATCAAAATTGATCATGTATTAACATAATGAGAATCTTGAAAAAACACCAAAAGACCACCTTGCCTGCATATGCTTTCAAAATTTAACATAAACAGAATTTTTAAATTTAATATTGTTTAACTTACTTAAACAAGACCTTTTTCCAGCTGTGCTTGCACCACCAGAACACAAATTGCCTCCTCTATGAATCAATTCAAGTTCCAAATTTGTTCTGTAAGTAAAGCATTAAAACTTATCTCAGTCATTTAGCTGAAAAGATCCTTTTTTGTTTGCTTTATTAATATGCCTGAATTAATTTTCCAACTTTATTATTTTAAAAGAAGTTTATGCAATATCAGTAATGTTTTATCTGATATTTAAAAATGAAAAGAGAATAATTTATTCATCCTTACTTATATGTGCATATATATACCTGCAAAAAATTGAACATATCACCATGTCACTGTTGCAAAGTCCCAGCTGTAAGCAAATACTAAAAACTAGGCCTTAGGAAAAAAACTGCAACATATCTTCTAAACCTGCATATGAAATGTGATGAAAGAATTTGTACTCCATTGTTAGGCACTGAGTAGTAGTTACTGTCATACAAATCACAAGAGCAAACCAGTTTTCCTATCAGAGAAATGGTTATCACTCATTGAAGCTTAGATGGCATCTGGAAATCAATATTAAGAAACAAAATCACTAATATCAAGGTGGCTATGAACAAAATATGTAAATAACAGCACTCTATTATGTATGGACTTCTAAAATTACAGTTTTATTAAAATACAACATTTATTGACATCAGTATGCTCATAGAATCTGAAATTGCAATTTTGTAGAAATTAACTTACAGAATATTAATAATTAGTAAATTGACATATAAAATCAAATTAATGCAGAAATTTAAATACTTAAAAACAATAAAAGAACAAATTGTGCCAAAATAAATAAAATTCTGGGTTATAATTTAAATTGTACTTTACACTTCATCAGTATTTACAAGCCTTTTTTTTTCTACAATTAAAACTGAATTAACTAGTTTATAGCAAAGATACACATTTGACACTAAAATGAGATGTCTCCCCCTTTAAAAAAAAAAGGCAAAGTTTCAAATTTATTCTTTTCAAGTGTATTCAAGACTCTATCTTACTTAAAACATCTTAAATTGGTTTTTGTTATTTTGAATACAGAATGTTTTGAATATTTTCATATATCAATTTACAAATACAAATTTTAAAAATAATATTCCTAAATCTGAATATTGCCACCCGTTTCTAAAGGGATGCTTTAATCCTTTCTCTTGGGGGGAGAGAAGCAATTAACACTGCTAAGGTTCCCGCTCAGAGCTCCATCTGGCTGCTGCTGATAAGGTCTCTGTGTGACCAGGGATTTAACACCCTTCAGCGATTTGCATTGCTCACTGAACTTCTAAAAACCTACCAGCGAGGAAGCAGGGACAAGGATTTCATACTAGTGGACAGAAAGCGAGCGGAGACCAGCATGTGTTCCTTCATCAAGGGAATAGAAATGAGATCAATACATTTTGTTTTCACAAATCTTCTGTTGCCTAATCTGTAGAAAAAAATTAATGGCTATATTCTCTTATAAAAACTAAGATTTCCTAGTTAGTACGTTAAAAGGCACTAACCAAAAACATGAACAATTCTTAAAAATGAATGTCAGAACCAGAATGCCTACTTTTATTACACCATATTTGCTAAAATATAAGAACAATTCTGTTTATTCAATCACCAAATATGATACTTCAGAGAAACTAAATATGTTAACAGGAATTCCATTTTAGAGGATACTTAAAACTACTAAATTTAACTTATTTTAGATTACATTTGAAAGATCTCTTCCAGTGCAACACTCCTGCATTAAAAACAAAACCTACCTAACCAAAGTTTTAATATGCAATAATATCCAGGATTTTAAAAAATCAGTGTCAGAGGCCTTATCCATCAACATGTACTCACTTCATGTACAACAAAATGGGCATGTGCCCCATGTCTGTCACCCATGACTGGCTTTTTTTTTTCACATTTTTTTCTTCCTAGTACCAGGAAACAAACTCAAGATCTTGGGCTTGTCAGGCAGACATAGTGCCCCTGGGCTAAAATCCCAGCCCTCCATGACTGGTTTTTGTTTATAGCATTTGTACAGAACTAGGAATTGAACCCAGGGCCTTCATTTTGGGCTAAGTTGTCCTGGTTGGGCTGGAACTTGCACTCCTCTTGCCTCAGTCACCCAGGGTAAAGGGGTTTGCAGGCAAGGTTTACCTTGCCTGGGCACCCCGCACTCTAGAAAATCACAACACAATACTCTGTTTCTGTCTTTCTGAATGTATAATGCAAAAAGTAAGATATGTTGGGAGTGAGTTTTTTCTACACTTTTTATTCTTGAAGAAAAGTAGTATATATTCTATTTTGTATGCTTTCTAACATAAATACACTTAAGTTACTTTGGAACAAAAAAGAAATATCTCTATATATTTGAAAAAATGATGAGGAAAAACTGGTAAAAGCCTGTCATAGTGGTCACCTAAATATACTGCATATCCTCATAAAAACCTCTAACCGTATTCCCAATTTCTTTTTGCATGGCCAACATCTGCCTTCTCTCTATTCCCCTTCAGTACTGTTTTTTTAGAGCCATAATTTGAAAAACAAATGTTTGTTCCCCTCTTCCCATCTCTCTTTTGCTCTCTCAAGCTCACACTGAAATAGTGGAAAGGGCAAAGGCTCTGCAGAAAGATCTGGGTTCAAAGCCTAAACAACTACTACACTGGTTGAACAAGATGCTCAGTTTTGGAGATGGGGAGAGACTACCTTCATCCATAGCACTGCCTATGTTATACAGAAGTTGCAGCTCAAGTTCTGCCTCTTCCAAAATACTTCCTAAGACAGTAAAGAAGCACTTGCACACATTTTAGTTCAATTTTGCTTATCTTCTCTTTTGAAGTTCTACAACACTTTCTCTATGACAATTTAAAAAACGTTATATCTCACTTTACATAGTGTTATTAAGTTTTCTGTCTGCAACTAAACTGTGAATTTCTGGAAAACAGGGACTATTTCATATATACCTTCTAAAATCACCAATGGTACCTAGCAAAGTGCTTTAAAAAGTTACAGAAATGACAACTTGTTTTGACATGTAACCAAGTGTAAGTTTTTACTCAGTCTCTGCGGTTTATCTTTCTTTTGATGAGCTTTATATTCCTTAAACCAAGCAGAAGACAGGGAGGAGGAGAAGGGAAGGGGAGGAGGAGGAGGGAGGGACAAAAGGGGAAGGGAGGGGAAGGTTTTAGAAGAATTTATTTTTAAAAAGAATAGCAAGCATTCCTTTCTTTGAATATAATTTGCTAAAAAATTTAGACTTACAATACAACCAATTTGTGAAGCTAGGTGCATTCATGTATTAAGTATTGTACCCACCCTTGATTTAAAGATGCCCATCCATCTAAATCTCATATACTCATGTGCCACCTTCCCATTTCCATTTTTCTCACAAAATACAAGCCAAATACTCCTCAACAATATCTCCAGGCTGTATATAATTTGGGTCCAAAAGTCCTTGAGAATATCAATTACTGAAATTCATGTCATTTTTTGCTTCAATAATTAAATAATGAATTGGTATTGAAGTGAGGAAAGCTTTCTCCCCCAGAATTAACTTTCCACAATCCAATTTGAATAATATTTACAACAGAATGGAAATTGTGAAAAGACATTAACACCTGAATAATCTTGATTAATTTTTAAGTTAATTTGATTTTAAAAGGACATTCCAGGGCAGGAGATTTAGCTCAGTGGTGCCACCACCTGCCTTGCAAGAGCAAGGTCCCAAGTTTGATCCCTGGTACCCCCCCAAAAAAAGACATTCCAGTAATTTCTTCTTTGTTGCCCTTAGAAAATCTTCCAAAGCTTTTCCATGTAAACAAAAGTAAAAAAACAAAGAGCTATGTACTACCCTTCTAAAAAATGAAATCTCAAAGATTTATTAAAAGAAACAGCTTTCCAGGCTGGTTACCCACCATAAATATTTTGTTTTCAAACATCAAAAATTCAGAGAGCAAACAATTTACTTATACTATGGGGAGAAAAGCAGCTCTATAAAACTAGAATTTTATTCCATTCAAATTACAAATGCTAAATACAAATAAATCTGCAAATTTTGATGGATTATACCTTTAAGAATTGCTGTTTAACTCAAAAATTAACTCAAAGTAAGTCTGTTGCTAAATATTTTACTCAAACACTGAAATACTGCTAAAATTTTAATGTCCATCTTTTTCTGTAATCATATTTCTGAAATTAATGTTAGACATAAGATAAGCAAAAAGATTTTATATCTTCTCTTGAGATAAATATCCTAATTAATTAGGATACCACATACATTCTTTGCTTTAAATTCATGTTTTATTCATTTCTTAATCAATTTATCTGTCATCTCTTTTCATTGTAATGACCAAGTCAAACTTAAACAGAGGGTACTGCAACCTCACAACTTTGCAACTACTTCGATAATTCCAACCAATGAATAATCAGGTTTGTTTTGGAATCATTGTCTTGCTGCTTTAGAGTTTATCTTTAGGAATCAGAGAAGCAGAGGGGTTAGTATATTTTCTATTTCTCTAATTGGTACTCATAGTAAAAAGCATATGCCATCTATCCCTTCTTCTCTATAAAGTAGAAAGATCAAAGTACATTGATCTAAGGAGTCTCACAATACCATCACAAGCTTTATCTTGTGTGTTTTTTATAGTTAAGGCACAAAACAAGTATCTAAGTTTCAAACATATTTAAATAAAATTATCATTTTATTAAGTATAGATCATTTCATTTAATCAGAATTTTCTTAAAAAGGTCAACTCTAATAATGCAAAGGCACAAATACATGAACATAAATGTGTGTGTGTGTATATATATATATATATATATACATATATGTATATATATATATATATATATGTAGGGGTGTGAGTGTATATATATATATGTATGTATGTATGTATGTATATGCATAACTGAGTTGGTCTACATTCAATCCAATCTTCTGCATTACTATAATTGCAATATTGTACAGAAGCTTTGTATAATCCTGGAATTTTAGTGATGTTAAATTACATTCACTTTAATTTTTATGTAAGTAATATATATATATTTTGGGGGGGTACTGGGGATTGAACTTGGGACCTTGCACTTTCAAGGCAGAAGCAGTGGTGCCACTCAGCTAAATCCCCAGCTGTAAGTACTATCTATCTTGTTACAAGTATGCAATAACTGTTAACTCTCCAGAAACAAAACGGGAACTGGCTATCTTCCCCCAACATATTCTGGAAAAACAAAAGTCTAGGAATATGCAGTAAGTTACTTCATAATCCATTAGATCCTTTTAGATCAACCCCTGTCTGGCACTGCATACTCATTTCAAAGACTATCTTGAGTTCTAACTTGATTGCAATATTTTTAAGTTGTGTTCCATATTCCCACGATTCTATTTACTCTTTTGGTATCCTCTGGCTCCAGGGAGTAGGGCAGAGAGAATGTACTGTGTGCATAATCTATAAAAGCTGCACACAGAAAAGGGGGGAAAAAAAGAAAGAAAAAGAACAGTAATTTTTTTTAAAAATGCTAAGCTTTGACTCAAGAGATCTGAGTTTCTGATTCAAGAGATCCAAGTTTTAATCCTACTGCACCACTAGCTTGCTGCACAATACATGCAGACAAAATATGAAGTTTGCTTCCAGAGCTACCCAGAGGCCTGCAACACCCAGAAGCTTTTGCTTCTTCCCTTCTTCTTTTGATTCTCTATTTTCACTCAATTGAATTCTCTAAAATTCCCATGTAAATCGACATGTTGAATACCTACTCAGACTACTCTTTCCTACTCTGAAAGATGAGAAACCCAGAAAAATGGTTTTCTTGAGACCCTACTTACTTCAAATAGAAACTTAGAACATGCCTGATCTCTTGTTCCTCTTCCTTATTTGGTTTCCTAGGTTACCTGTCACCTTCCACGATATTACTAGATGTTTCAGTAGGTTAAAGCCAACAAAGAATGCAAGTTCTACTTCTTACTGTTCTTGTTCTTCCATAAATTAAAAAGTGTTAACACATTACAATGTTTTAGTTCTCAGTAATTATGACTTTTTGACAGGACTTCATATATAATACTCCTCTGCTCTGAGGTACATATCTGTCCCAAAATATTAATAATATACTTTTCCCCAAATGTCCTATATGCTAAATAATACTTACCTAAATTTTCCATTAAAATTTTAAAACTCTTCAGGAAATACAGGAAAAGTACAAATTTATAATCCTGAGAGATTCTAAAACTGACCATAATTTCAACCAATATTAAAAATATATATCCCTTCTTTAAATAAATGGTAATGAAAGATTCACTGTACAGTAAACCCAAAAATAAGTAAATACAAAAGTATATACTGCATATACCTACCTCGCAACAGAGTACATAAAAAGAAAATCATTGTCTGGTGAGCCTGGAGTCTTGCTATAGTCTCTATATTTCTTCTGAGTTGTATTTTTTATATCTTTCATTACAGATTCCATTTCCTTGCTTAAGTTGGTTTCCAACTATTAAAAAAATGTAAATATACATATAAAGTTTATATTCATTTCTTTAATAACAATCTAAACTAAAATATTTATCATGTGAATATACTAGGAAGCTAAAAGTCAAAAGGATGTAATATTAACTATCTACTATAAGTACACTTAGTGCACAAAGATAAAACCAATGAAAAATACTTTCTCTTATAATCTTTCATTCTAATTCTACATTATAATTGATAGCATTAAAATCCAGCTATGAATTAATCATATACTATATTTTAACCCAACAGATGTCATTAAAATATTTCATAACAAATTTTTGTTTATAAAAAAACCCTTTCATTTAAGTTCATTTTTAAAGGATAACATCAATGTCCCTTACATTAAACACATTTTTATTGTAAAGTGAATTTTTTAATTTTAACATTAAAAATTTTTTATTAGTACGTTCAGTATACAATGTTTGCATTCTTTATGTGTATGTGTAAATCTATCACTTACACAACTAATGAGGGTATTTTTAAAAATCATGGCACTATGCTTTACATTGAAATGTACACTCATGTAATGCATAAAGACATTTCAGTCAGTAACAGGCCACATATACAGTGGTGGTCCCTTAAGACTTTAGCACTTAGTGACAATCTTAGTTTAAACTAAGTATACTCTATGATGCTCGCACAGTGATGAAATCACCTACTGACCGTTTTCAGAATGTTTCCCCATCACTAAGTTACATGTCTACACATACAGTTTGTTTTGCTTTGCTCTTAAACATTTCATCTTACAAGAGCCTAACCATAACTTATAAGATTTCATGGTCTGAAAATGTACATTAAAAGTACAACGATTCACACTAAAGAAAAGCAGAATGTTATAGTTTACATCTAGATGTCCCCCAAGAGCCTCATGTGCTCATAGGCGTGCTTTTGGAAGATGATTAGATTATGGGGGCTTACTGCTGACTTGCTGCTAAGGAGATGAGGTCTGATCAAAGAGGTAGTCATGGAAGGAAGGTCTATAAGGGTTTATCTCCTTCCCCGGCTCCTTCTTTCACTCTCTCTGCTTCCTGTCTGTCAGGCCCTGAGCAGCTCCTCCTCCAACCATGCATCCCCGGATGACCACACAAGGACTGAAACTTCTAAAACTAAGCCTTTAAATTGTGGGTGTAAGGTATTTTGTCCTAGCAACTAAGACTTATAGCCTTTGATAAGTGTTTCTTCTATTATTTTCTTTTTTAAAAAGCATCCAAAATCAGAAGAAACTTTTAAAAACAATTTCTATTCAATGTATAGAGGTCTACAGAATTTAGATGCTGAAAGAAATAAAAGGCTGAAAAGCAGAGATGAATTAGCCAGGATATTTCTGCCTTACACTGATGCTTACTGGGAAAGCTCCCGGCCGTCCCTGCAGCTCCTCCACTTCCTTTATGAGATCTTTTATGCTTTTGTTATTCAGACGTTGCCAAAGGTTATTTTCCACATTGCTTCCAGGATAACAAGGAAGAACACTGTTAGCAAACTGCCTACAGAGAGGACAGGTGAATTCTCCTTTGTCCACCGAGAAGCCCTGAAGAACCTGGTCATTCTAAAAGATGAAATAAACATATAGACATATGATGCACATATTTACAGAAAACAAAAATCATATTTCATAAGAACTAATGAACCATACAAAGACATTTCTAAAATACATCATAAAGAAACAAATTTCTCATTTAAAGACTGAAGCTTACCAAACCACTTTTCACATGATACAAGTATGTAACGTGTGCTGCCTCCAAAGAATTTCTGAAGTATTTCACTTTGCTTTCAGGATGATACACTCAAACAATGATATAGTCACTCTGAGATGCGGATTTAAATTTTTAAAAAATACAATCCACATTAAAATATATCACTTTCCTCTTCCCCCATACCCATGTTTTAATAAATCCGTAAGAGACAACTAGGAAGAGATATATTCATGTTCTTTGATGTAGGCTAGATAGCATTTAAAAGTATATTAAACCTTTTTTAAAAAAGTTTGATGTGTCATTTAAGGTGCTAACTGCTTAACACAAGTAAGTAAACAACTCAATGCTTGTTTCATTGTATCCTGCATCTCAAGATTAACTAAAAGAACTGAATTCTTTCCTTTAACTTGTCATTAATTTTAAAAATATGTATTACAATGTATCTTCTTACATCCAATTCTATGAACACTTCGCTTCTTCTATGTGTCAAATGTGCTAAATAACAACATAAAGAGCTAAAGATACATTTTTCTCTTCTTATGGTATTCAAAAATGTTAAAGTAAAATTAAACAAATAAAATATAGTGTAACAAATGCAACAAAGAAGGCATACCAGAAAAGAGAGTTGTGAGTTAAATTTTTAAGGTACATAAGAGTACACTAGAAGGGTGAAGGAAAGGTCCTGGTCACAAAATGACATTCCGCAATAGGTCCGCCTGTAGTCTTAATCCAAAGAACGCTGGGACCTATTGCTTGCTGAATTGAAACCGGGCTTTTTCCAAAGGTTTCCCCAGAAGCCCTCTCATCTCCTTCCACATGCCTCACACATCCCTCATCTCCAGCACTAGCTTCAGGTTATTACTCCTCCATTCTCTAGTCTGTGGCTTACATCATTTAGTAATACTGTCCTTTCCCTCCCATTTCATTGTGTCACCACACTCATCACTCAAGATTTTGGTATCTCGATCAGTTTTTCTCATCATTCCAAGTCCTGTCATCCTCCTATGCAATTCCACAGTATATAAGCACAACTAGTCTTACAACTTAGTCCCTCAACCCCTTCTCTCACCAGCTCTTGTGGCTTTTATCTTCACAGTCCTCTAGGCACCTATAATCACGACTACAGCCGTGTCCTATAATAACCCAAAATCGTCCACATGTGAAATTTTCAATTCCAACATCCTACATCTTGACTACCAACTCATGCCCCTTATTCCCTTCTTTTTCTCCTAGTTTTTCAGGACTGTCTTTTCCTGCCCACATACTATGATCCTCCACTTCAATACTCTTGGCAGTATTTCCCACTCCCTTCCATATGTCCTTCTAACATATTCATACCTAACAAAATCTTTACAAAAATTAAGTTATACCTTTGTCAATTTTGCACTCAAACTAAGTGCTATTAGATAAAAATGAAATACCTTCTTTCTACAAACTATTTCCCACTTCAACTGAACCTTAAATATTGTTTAGCAGTCTTTCTTCAACATCCTGGGAACATCTCTCACCAAATTCCAAAGTGGTCTATCCAAACCACTTCTTCACTTGCCAAGTCTGTAACTTCCCCACCACTGCCCCATTTACTGTAGGAACATAAAGGTACATCTCCTACCTCAGAGAGACAGTCATGGCAGTCCTTCAGCTTCTTGCTTTCTCCTACCACAAGTACACAATTAATAAATCCCATCAGTTCTTCTGCCCACTTTATTTTTTCTATTCCCTTTGCTAAGCTTTCTTAACTAGTCACCCAACTACAATGTGGTATAATCTAAAATGTCTAATACTTAATGTGAGACTGTAATTCCAAATAAAAATCATTCAATGATCACCATCAACTCTCATTTTGATTCCTTCCTTCCCCTCATGAAATATATAAAAATCTCTCACACATCCAAAAGTCTATTTCCTAAATATATTTCAGATCCATAACCTCTTCTCCAATTTCACTGCCATAACCAAGTCCAAGCCACCATCATCTCCTACTTCCTAAATGATATTACAACATTCTTTCTTAGTCCTCCAGAATCCCCTCTCTATACAACTGTCACAGTGATCTTTCTGGACACTTTAAATTTCTACTTAGCTTTTAATAGCTTTGACTAAAGTATCTGTACAAAGTCCAAATTCTTTACAAAACCATAGGCTGTTTACAAAATGGCCCCAGTTATTTTTTCAGGCCCATTTTTCGTCTCTCAAATGTTACTTTATCAAATGTTCTGGCATCTAGTAGATATTTCACTAAGACCCTGTGTAGGCCTCATAATATTTAGTACATACAATGCAACTGTTTGTCTACAACATACAGAATAAATTCTTTGAGGAAAAAAATCTATGTCTTATTCACTGCTGTATTCCCAATAGTTATTATATTATCTAGAATTCTGTGGACACTAAACAAATATTTGAAGAATAATTGAACATAGTGGTATAAGAATGCCTAACACACTTAAAAACTACTAAATAGCTTATTAATGCTGAATTGATAAAAGTTAAAGCAACAAGCAAGCCCAGATCATATAGTACCTGAATGCCACTAAGAGAAGAGTGAAATTTATCCTATTGGAAAGAAGCAAGCAATGAATTTTTAAGCCAATGACATATGTAGGGAGACTGATGTTGTGAATAAATTAAGACTTGAAGTAAGGAAATCATCAAGAAAGCAATTAAAATTGCCAACGTGAGAAATGAAAGCATACACACAAAAGTAGCAATGGGAATAACAAAGAATATACTCAAGTGAGATTCAGAAATTAGAACCAATAGAATTTTGGTGACTGAATGTAAAAGTTAAAGACTAGAAAGGAAAAAAGATAAATGTTTCCAAGTTAGGAACCTAGGAATACAGTGGACCTGCTTTTACAGAACATGTTTTTCCCAAGTTGAGCCCAAGAGAAATAGAAGACTTCAGTCACAGAGGTATGCAAGATCAAGAGAAGGACTCTAAATAGGACACATTTGATCATCCTTATGGACTGAGAAGGGGTAGAAGAGATAGCAAAATAAGATATAGAAGAAAAAGAGGTTACATATTGATAGATCAAAATCCCTAAAATGCTGAGGCAAAAGAAATCCTAGAGCACAGACAGAAAAGTTTTTCATAAACAGAAGAATTTACTAAAAAACAGAGTCCTCTAACAGTAGAAAAGAAAGGATGATTTGGGGCACAAGGTTATTTATTGGGGAATTATAAAAAAACAATTTAGCAAGCTAAGATAGTAAGACAAAGAAACACTGTTTTCCTGGTGACGTAACAAAAGACAAAGTCTGACAAAAAGGGATCTTGGAGTTTAGGGAAAGAGTTTTGGATAGGGGAAGCAAAGGTTTGGAACAGCTGTTGAGAAGAATTGACTTAATAAGTATATTTGCAATCCATGACCCTAGTGTAAGCCATGACTACAGGAAATCACAAATCTGTGATAACAATTCACTTAGTTTTATGATTTCTTTAGTAGGGCAGCTGTCTGGGTCTAAAACTGAAGGAAGTATATTAAATGGTAGTAAAAGGGGAATAGGCATAAAACAAGAAAAGTTTGGAAGGAGATAATACACTAGGAAAACGTGAAAGGGTTAAAAAAATACTAATGAAGGGAAAAATAACAGAATTTGAGGAATCATCATATAATAAGGTAATATGGTAGAATATCAAAGCTAAGTATTTCAGAGCCACAGTAGCAAAGTCTAATTTGCAGCCATGGAAGTCAGGTGCTCAAGAGAGTTAACAAAATGGAAAATCTTTCAAAGAAGTAGAATTGAGATGTATATACTATAAAAAGATTTAATACCTAGAAAATACGCCTTTAAAAATTTTTCCATTCAACTTACCCGTAATGATACCATGTAAGATTTATGACAATCTATATGCAAGGTGTGGCCACAGGTTTGTACATAAACACCTCCTTCCCAGCCAATTGATACTGCCAAAAGACAAGAACTCTTTAAAAAAAAAAAAAGACAAAAGACAATTAATTTTAAAGACATATAAACATATTTAAATGTATGCCCATTAACCTCTGCATGGTTTCATGTTGTTATACTAATGTGGTATCTATAATACTGACATAGAAATTATACCTGACTACATAACCTTAAGGTAATGTCTTTAAAATTAGAACACTGTGAAGTTTTAGTGCCCAAATATCTACGCTCATAATGAAAGAGAATAATTACGAACTAGCCTTTCTCCACCCCATGAACTATAATTTATCTATATATTATACTATATGGTACAGCTATGTTTTATATGTTTTGTTGGGTAACATCTGACATTAACAATTTCCTTTCTAAAATGCCTACTTTTCTCTCGCTTCCATAATGTTACCGTCTCTCGGTTTTCTTCCTCTCTTTTTCTCTTGGCCTTCTTCCAAGACAGTTCTGTCTTCACCTGTCCCTTCAAAGTGTATACTCCTCAGGTCCTAATCTCTGTACTACTCTTTTCTTATTAGAACTATTCTCCTAAAGAATTTAATGAGTAATTTCAACTACCCTACAAGCCTGGTTATCTTGCCTATGTGTTTGATACAATTAATTACTCAGCTGCCACCAGGAATCTCCAGTTTCATTTTTCTCAAACAACATAAAATCATTCCCAAAAACTTAACTTGTCATCTTCTCCATGAATCTTTCTCTTGCTTTAAAAATACAATTTAGTCACCATAGCAGAGAGCTAAGAGTCATTCTCCATCAACCATTCCCTTCAAACCACAATATAAGTTGCCAAATTCCCTCTCAACCTACAAAAAACTTTAGACTTTTCAAGTTCTTTCTTGTAATTTTTATCACGTCATCTGTCAAACAGCATGTGGGCATGAATGTGAATTTACGCTTTAGAGTCTAAAACACATAGATGAGCAGGCCCCAAACCAATAAGTTGCACAAGGTCTAAATTAAATGACAGCATATGATGAAAGATTTAAGAGTGATAATATAAGCATGTTCTTATATGCATAAAAAACTGAGTGAACATTTAAATTTTATTTTACATTGGAGAAATTTATACACTATTATGTAAGATGACCAAATGATGGTGGAAAAAGTTCCAGTATTAAATCAAGACTTCACGAATATGTGAAAGTTGAAAATATTACACAGCACAAAATGCCTGCTCAATTTAAAGAGGTACAGCAGCATAAATTAAATACTCATCTCTAAATTAAATACAGATGAGTTGCTTGAAATAGAAGCAAATCTGAATGTTAGACCATTTTAGAATGGTTACTAGCCAGTTAATAAGCAAGCTACTCTCTGTCACTGTACTATAAAAAGGTAATGAATCTTTTTTTTTTTTTTTTTTTTTTTTTTTTTTTTTTGAGACAGGGTCTCACTATGTAGTTGAGACTGACCTGGAACTCACTATGTAGCCCAGGCTAGGCTCAAACTCACAGCGATCCTCCTGCCTCAGCCTCCCAAGTGCTGGGATTACAGGGGTGCGCCACCACTGCCCACTTGGGCCACCACTCCTGGCTCTGAATCTTTATTTTTAACAAAAGTGGTTAGATTTTAAAACTGAAAATATTAATCACTTTCTACACAACTGTTAGATATCTTATTTTAGTCTGCTGGAGTTAAAAATGCAGAAAAACTTTCGCTAATAAGAGGCTAGTATTTTAGAGAGCCTTTAACTACAGGTCTGCAAACCATTGTGTTGAGTGCTTATCACACTGAATCTTCACATCATCAATATTTACTAAAATCTTATATAATAGTAGTGTTACCCATTTTCAAAGAAAATAAAATTTTCACCAAAGTCAAGAAGTTGAAAATGATAGCACCCAAGTTGAGATCCAAGTCTATCTAATTCCAAAGCTCAGGTTCTTTCCCTCTACAGTGTCACACCTCCCCAAAATTCCAGTTTCTACAGTGAATGTACTGTCTAACTAAAATTTTACATGTGAACTCTGTTAAAGAGCATGCATTTCCCCTGAAGAGAGCAAAACCTACAATCTAATTCTAGTTTAACAGCACTAGTCCCACAAATAGCTATTCTTTTTTGTTCTATACAGCCTGTCCTAGCTATAAAACTCTGGTGTTCTATGCCTAGAGTGATTCAGTAAAAAAAATCCAGGAAGGATCTACAACACAGAGAGCATGTACCAGCTCTGGAGGAAGCTATAAACCCAACAAAGAAAATGGTCCTAGGCTTCCAAAGGAATACAATCTATAGAATATGCCATTAGGTACATAAATATTATGAAAGTACATGAGGTAATGATATAGAAATAAAAATCTTACAATCACTAATAGAAACACAACACAGTCCAGTACAGCTCAGAGTTCAGGTCAGAACCTTTTTATTTAAAACAAACAATCTTTTTTTTCTAGAAATTAATGACTAACCTCAGCTGGAAGGAAAAATATGTAACCTTTTCTCTCCTATACTAGATCTCTTCCTCTCTCACAATTACTACACACTTAGCTCTGGATTATACTGTGACTCAATTAAAAAATGTCTGGATTTAACTTTCATCTTGACCCATTTACTTTAAAGTAATTCAAAATGATAAAATTAAAACCAGAACTAAGACCAAAAAATGAAATCTCAATAAAGTGGTAGCAAAAGTATGCAGATGATGAATTTAGCCTAATGTCATAATTTTCTTTGTAAAGAAAACACCGCTTTTAGAAAGTAACTACAATTTCCACTTAAAGTTGCAAAAATATATGGAAGCATGATCAACATTATATAACCCATTATATAAGCCAAATAACCTTATAAAGCCTAATCTGAGTCCTTCCAAGTAGATTACTCTACCTTGAAAATAAAAACATCACTTTGCATCTCTACTGGCCTGTAAGGCAACCGAAGTGATCTAAAGTAATTCTGATATTGTGGGTTCTGCAAGAAAAATCACTCTAAATCCTGTACAGATGAGGAAACTGAGTCTTAAAGTGTTTAGGGATTTGGCCAAGCTCACACACCTCAGAAACAGCAGAATCAGATTCAAGCTGTTTCTTCTGGTCTACAACTCTTTTTATTCTATACAATACCTCCCTAAACTTCTCCAGAAGTCATCAAAAACCTTTTCCTCGGCCCATGTTTTATGGACTAGACTTTACTTTGGCTCTTTTCATCTTTAGGTCAGTTACAGTTTAGAATGAATTCTACCTTCCACCTACTTTAGTAGTCTCTTCCATATAGCAGAATTATAGGCAAGAAAGAAATTCTATTTAAAAATCTTTCAAGACAGTCATCTCATATAATTCAGTAAAAGTACTGCTTTACTATATTTTAAGCTTTTGTGTTATTTACTTAATTCAAGATACAGTATATTCAAAAAAACAACAACAGAAGAAAGAAACTTCATTCAATAATCCACTCGATACTAGATAAAATTTATTCTCAAGCCTTGAGACGCTTCTGAGTAACATATCTTTTAGATGCAAAAAGCTGAAGAATCTAAGTAACAAGTTTGCAAGAAGTCACAGATGACAGGAATCAAATCCAATCCTCCTTTGTATTTCAAAAGTATCACAATAAATTTTTATTGTGTATCTTGAAATAAAATATTTTTCCTAAAATATTCATGCCATATCTAAGGGATTTTAGAGCTAATCTTTATTATTCCACTGAATTGAATTGCATATACTTCACAATAAGCATTTAAAACAAACATATCACATTTATTACTTGAAATTTTTATTAACAATTATTTCCATTTCATTATCATCAACATACTAATTTTTTTCTAGTAAACATCCAGATTTTAAATCAGAATGGCATTCTGTTAAAAGAAAATATAAAATAAAACTCTGGAGGAAAATAACCATCAACTTTGCAGTCAAAAATACTAGTAAAAAAAAAAAAAGAGTACTTACATCCTTAAAATAACGCTGTAATAATGAAAGCCTCACGTCATGCACTGCTGCACATGTGTCCCAAGGGTAAATCTGTTCTTCTTCAGTGATTGGCAACTTTTTGGGCTCAACATTATCACGGCACTGCCCTAAAACTACATTAGTAACAGAGATAAAAGCTCATTAAATAACTAACACCGAGACCAGATTCACCAAGAAAAGTCAGGTGAGGTATCATAAATTACACTAAACTTTCCACTTTTCAAGTATTTTTAAAGATCTTTTAAAAAGAGTGGGATTTTAATTTTCTTCTACAAAATAAATAAAGCTCCACATAGGTCAAATTTACTTTTTTAAATAACATTAAAATATGAGTTTGAACTCATGATGGATAGACAGATGTATGGTTTCCTAACATCAACAAACTTCATTCCTAAATATATTATTTCTCACAAAAAGGAAGCAGATATTCTTGGAGAGCAAGGCGAGTTCAGGGTTGGGGAAAAGTATGAGATGAGCCTAGAACAGTGCATGATAAAGAACGAGGAAGTGTTCAAACACTTAAGGAACAGTTTCATGAGGACATGAAGGAGTTCAGAAAGGCCAAATGTGAGAAAATTGAGGAAAAAAATAATGGACAACATATTCATTAATTCAGGTAAGAAACATCAAGTTAAAAACAGGTAGAGTCTTGCCAGGGATTTAGCTCAGTGGTTCTGCTGCCTGCCTTCCAAGTGCAAGGGCCCGAGTTCAGTCCCTGGTACCAAAAAAAAAAAAACAAAAAAAAAAACCAGGTAGAGTCTCAGTGTATCATTCCATGCATTACTGATCACATTAGCCAAATAGAATGTTAGATGTTATTAAATGTATTGAGTATGACAATGGCACTTTGGTGATGTGAAAGAATATCCTTAGTCTTGCAAAATATGTACATTTTGAAATATTCAAATATAAAATAATATGATGACAATTTTCTTGAGCATGTGTGTGTATCTGAGAGCACAAAAGAAAAATAAATGTGGCAACACAACAACAACCAGTGATTGCAGGTGTAAGGTATTCAACATTTCTATACACATAAAACTTCAAAATGAAAAACTGAGAAAAGAAATATAGGGCAAAATGTATCAATGTTTTGACACTTTGCACGTTTCTAGGAAATCATTTCATTTAGGTCATATAATTCTTACCATAAAATTGTTCATAGTATTCACCTCTAATTCTAACGGGGATTACAGGCATGGGCCATCACTTTTGACTAGATCTAGTTTTTTTTATAGTATTGCTCTAATGTTCAGATTTCTTATTAATCTTCTAACTAATCTGTCCACTGAAATATCCAAATATTATTGCAGAACTATCTATTTCCACCTTCAATTCTGTCAATTTTTGTTCCAAATATTCGGGGGCTGTTTTTTTAGTACATATTTATAGCTATTATAGCTTCTTGATGGATTGACTTCTTTATGAAGATATAATTCCTTCTTTGTTTTATGTAAATTGTACTCTAAAGTCTATTTTATTTCATATTAGTTTGAGCAACTGTCTTTTGGTTACAATTTACATGGAATATCTTTCCATACTTCCACTTTCATCCTATTTGTATAACTTTAGATTTAAAGTGAACCTCTTATAGATAGCATATACTGTGATCACTTCTTTTACCCATTCTGTCAATCTCTGCCTTTTACCTGGAAAATTTAATGCATTATCTTTCAAGTTATTACTGGTGAGAAAATATTTAATTCTATCTTGTTGCTATTTGTTTTTTATATGTTCCTTTAATTCATCCATTAGTACTTTCTTTATATTAAATTTGCTAATATACCATTTTAATTCCCTTCTCTTATTTTTGTTTTTTGTTTTTGTTTTTTGTTTTGTTTTGTTTAGAAAACTCTAGGTATTATGATTAACATCAACACTTTGTTTTTTTTTTTTTTTGGTACCAGGGATTGAACTCAGGTCCTTGCACTTGCAAGGCAGGCCACCAAACCACTGAGCTAAATCCCCAGCCCCTAACATCAACACTTTGTAACAATCAAGTTGGAATTAATATCTGATTAGTTTTAATAGTATACAGGGGTGTGGTGGCAAACACCTATAATCCCAGCACTCAGGAGGGGGAGGCAGGATGATTACCACAAATCTGAGGTCAGCCTGAGCTCTATACTACGTTCAAAGCCAGCCTGGACTGCTTACTAAAACCTTGTGTCAAACCCCCCCCCCAAAAAAAAGAAAACTACTACTACTAATAATAATAATGATTTCAAACCCCCCCCCCCAAAAAAAGAAAACTACTACTACTAATAATAATAATGATTTGCAAAAACTCTGCTCTTTACATCCTCATTTTCCCCAGCACCCACCCCTTTATGCTTTTATCTGAATGCCTTCACTTTTGACAACCAGGAGCACAGATACTTGATTTCAAAATGTAAATATGTAGTCCTTCCCAAATTTAGTTCTGCATAAAAACTTCTGCTGATAAAGGATTAAAACCATTGGGACTATACTGCATAAGATTACTACTTCAAAACACTTCAGAATGGGAGAAGATAGAAAATAGTCAGACAAGTGTTTCAAATTTTTAAAATCGTTTTTTAAGTGATGGACTTGCAGTCATACCACAAACTGTTTCAAGATTTAACTGCTTCCAGCAGCTCAAGAAATAAGAGGGGAGTTGCCTTAATATACAATGTATAATTAGACTATTAAAACTGACAATATTAAAGATTTTAGAACAACTAAACTACCAAGAAAGCTGAATTCCATTAATGGCCACCTAGTACTGATAATACATTACCACACTTAACAAAAACAACTACAAAATATATAACAAGATCTCTCCATGCTTTCTTCCAGAAAGCACAAGGACCTGACTTCGATCCCCGGTAACAAAAAAAAAAAAAAACACTTTCTTCCAAATCTCAGGTAGAGCAAACTAAAAAGATAAAACCAGGGCCTGTGCACCACCAGCACCAGCAAGGAAGGCAAGATTTGGAAGGCAGCTCTGAGATCTCCTATCCTGCCAGTCTGCTTGGGTGCTTTCAGTGGAATGGGTAGCTGCACCCTCCCCTGCCTGCTCCGCCACCAGCTCCAGCAAGGAAGGTAGCTGCGCCTCTGAAATCACCACCACCACCACCACCACCTTGTAAAGATTATATGGTCTTCTATGTCCCCTGGCTTCACTTGAAACCTTCTCGAATTCTTTTACTTATCCACTCCTCTCATCCTAAATCTGTCTAAGCCCTCATCCTAAATGGTAAAGATGCTATATTGAAAAGAGTATTCGGCCCTCGCTCGAGAGCTGGGAAACATCACTCAAGCGCCAGGAGGTAGGCTGGGCCCTGATCCACCACGGGAAGGAGAGCCACACCTGCTCCCCACCCAGCCGCCATGGATCAAGCACGGGGAGCAGCCATCACTCAAGCGCCAGGAAGTAGGCTGGGCCCCGATCCACAGCGGGAAGGAGAGCCACACATGCTCCCAACCCAGCAGCCATCGCTCAAGCACCAGGAGGCAGCCGCGTGTGCACCCCTGAACCCCCTAAGCGCCCCCCCCGCACTCTCAGACCACCTGACTGTGCCAGTCTTCGGACCCACTCTGCAAAGACAGAGGGGCCGTCAAGGGTATTTTTCTGAGTTCCCAACTTTGAACATCTTTAAAGAAAGGGCGTGGGAAACCTGTAATAGAACGTTGCGAAGTTCAACCATTCAGAAGGATGGGGAACTCAATATGGGCCTTGCAGCCAGAGATCAGTCAGCGTCAGGGGGTTCAGCCTTCAGCTAACTGAGATCAGGGGTCTTGCATCCTGGCTCTGTCTGAGCCATTAAATGGTAAATACACTATATTGAAATTTTGTTCACTGCAGACATGTTGGGGACTGCTTCTTGATTTCAATTTAATTCAAATGATTTAAGGGTGATACACTAGTGACTACCACAGGTGGTCAGTGTCCAAGTTGTGCTTGATCTTAATGTGTTGCTATTTATATCAGTTGGGGTAAAGCATTGCCGTTGATTTGATGAGCTGTTTTCTCTGATGTTATGAAGATGAGAATGTCTGTGGGTCGTTAGAGACACAGAAGCTAGGGCGCAACTATATCAGGAAGATTTGGGTGATAATCCAGAGATTAAACCAAGGACAGTCCGACAACAAAAATTAAAATGAGAAAACACTTAAGCAAGACACAAGGACAGAGTTCCAGTTCACCAATGGCAAACAGTAGGGCAAATGAGGATGAAAAGGCTGATAGTGAACCACCAGGACACCCTGAACTCAAAGTACAGGAAGTAACAAAACAGATCAATCAGGCTCTGGAAAAATTCAAAACAGAAATAATTTCCCAGATAACCACAGAGATAGTGAGCAAAATGGAAGTCGTGATTCGAGACTCTAGAGCAGAAACTGACAAAAAAATAGATGAGCTCAGGACCATGATAGAAGCCATGAAGGCCCAGCATAAGAAGGAAATGGAAAAAATAAACACCCAACATAGGAAAGAAATGGAATCCATGAAACAGAATCAAACAGATATCCAGGAGATTAGACACTCCATTGAAAGTGTACGCAACAGAATAAAAGAATGCGAAGATAGACTCTCAGATATAGAAGATAAGATTGCAGTCAGTGACCATGAAAAGAGAGGTCTCTTAAAAACAGTAAGGGATCATGAGAAAT